ATTTGGTGTTTAATGGACGTCTAATAGACATCTAATCAAAGACAGCTTGGCTAAAACAAGGCTAAACTCGTAAAAAATGTCAGTGAAAATCTAATAGCGATCTAAAAAATAGCCCAAAATAGACAGATTAGACAGACTTTATATCTGTAGTCATTTAATTATGTGTATTTGATGTTTAGTCTAGTTTTGGCCTATTCTAAGACGTATATTAGATTTTCACTGAAAGCCCAAATGTAGCCTTGTTTTAGCCAAGACGACTGTTAAGACGTCTATTAGACATCTTTTAAACATATTTTAAAAACAAAAAAAGCTTGCTGGGAGGTCATGGGACAGGATTTGTGAATGGCTAAATAAGCGACGCAACTGACGCTAGCAGGTCACGTGACAATCACAACGCAGCAAACATACTTCCAAATAGCATTAATACTAGAACACACTAGTTAGTACCCAACGAGCAGGAGAAATGATCCGATTCGGGAGAATGACTCGATCATCGCTATCGAGTGAGTCGTGATCGTGCTGCTTGGATGAGACACAAGACGCAGGAGTCACTCAGATCAGAGGGGCAGAATTAAACCGCATACTGCTGTTAGCTAAACTAAGACAGGTTTGAGAGATTTCAAAGCAGTTACACGTGAAAATATTCAACAGATCTCGAGAATTGTTACGACTCGTGACTCACGAATGTAGATCGTGACAGCAATCGGCCATCAGCGATAAAGGGTTGCTCTAACACCCTGTCTAGTATGTAAGCATTACACTATGGCTAAACATGATATTAAAGTGTAAACTCACCCCATTCTTATTTTAGATCCCGACTGCAAACCTGCCATTGGGGGCTTAGAGGCTAGCAAATTCAAATGCAACTGTTTCTCCATGATGTGAGGAAAACCAAACCCTTTGAGCGCCTAAAACGTCTAGCTTTCTTTGCACCATACGAGTCGCCTTCTATACACACTGCAACTGCACACTTAAGAGAAATGAACGATAAATCGGACTAGCTCAGCAGACAGGTACAGAAATCTATGTTCGCACCAGTAGTCTCCACCCACCAGCACTTTTGCCCGGAGTGCATTATGGTAAGTGTAGTCATGTAACTGGATTTTACTGCTGGCGCTGACGTCACAGTGCATGGAAAGAACTACAACTAACAGCAAACACCAGTTTGGGCTCCTCGGCACGTAAACCAGCCTGAAAACTATGACGTAATGCAATACAAAGGATGATGGATTGATTATCGCCAGTCTCCTGAGTGTCTAAATGTGTCTAATTTATTGTTCTTATAATTTTTCTATTGCAAAACAAACAAAAAAAATTATCGTAAGTGTCCACTTATTTAATAATACAAATTGATATGCACAGCCTTCACAAAAACCTTTGACCACATATATTAATGAATCTATTAATGATAATTAGTTAATAATAAATTCATAGTTTTTAACCTAATTCCATATTCTTTATCATATATATATATATATATATATATATATATATATATATATATATATATATATATATATATATAGCTGATGTCAGAATTATTAGCCCCCCTTTGATTTTTTTTCTTTTTTTTTCCTTTTTTGAATATTTCCCAAATGATGTTTAACAGAGCAAGGACATTTTCACAGTATATCTGATAATAGTTTTTCTTCTGAAGAAAGTTTAAATTGTTTTATTTTGGCTAGGATATATATATATATATATATATATATATATATATATATATATATATATATATATATATATATATATATATATATATAACATTTTAAGTTCAAAATGATTAGCGCTTTAAGCTATTCATTTTTTCAGTAGTCCACAGAACAAATCGTCTTTATACAATAACTTGCCTAATTACTCTAACCTGCCTAGTTAACCTTATTAACCTAGTTAAGCCTTTAAATGTCACTTCAAGCTGTATAGAAGTGTCTTGAAAAATATCTAGTCAAATATTATTTACTGTCATCATGTCAAAGATAAAATAATTCAGTTATTAGATATGAGTTATTAAAATTATTATGTTTAGAAATGTGTTGAAAAAAATCTGCTCTCCATTAAACAAAAATTGGGAAAAAATAAAACGGGGTGCGTGAGGTGCTGTTTTTAAAATAATGCTGTTACTTTTTGTTTCAGCAAGTTGCTAAGAAAGTGTGTTGTATTAAACTTATTTAACTTAAACTTATGTAAATACAAATAAGTAAAAAAAACAAAACAAATAAAAAACAATAAAAAAAATTATATCACTAATATATTTCATAATTAATAAAAATATAAATTCCAACTTATAGCTACTCAGTACTGCCTGATAATAATAATAATATAACTTTATATTTTATTTCAAAGTTAACATTTTATAGTTATTATTTTCAATTTTATTTATATAATGCTCTAATTTATAATTATCATTTCAAAGCATTTTTACACATCATTACAATACAATCAAAACGAGTTCAGAGAGAAAGAGACAGATAGTAGATAAATGTAGTATCTTTATATTGCTGGATTATATATTCATATATTAAATGGATAAACTGTTTAATTAAACTGTATTGGTCACAAAAACACACCAAATATGCATTATATATGTATTACATATATAATATATTAACTGAAACGGGGGTGCACTCATCTGAAAGTATTTTTGTTTTTGAAGACAAATAATGAATACACACTCACCAGCCACTTTATAGTACACCTGTCCAACCACTCAATAATGAAAATTTCTAGTTAGCCATGGCAGCAACTCAGTGCTTTTGATGGCTACATCCAGCAGCGTAACGCGTCATGTCATAAAGGGCAAATCATCTCAGACTGGTTTCTTGAACATGACAATAAGTTTACTGTACTCAAATGGCCTCCACAGTTACCAAATCTCAATCCAATAGAGCACCTTTGCATCATAGATGTGCAGTCGACAAATCTGCAGCAACTGCGTGATGCTATCATGTCAATATAAACCAAAATTTCTGAGGAATATTTCCAGTACATTCTTGAATCTATGCCATGAAGGATAAAGACAGTTCTGAAGGTAAAAGGGGTCCAACCCGGTACTTGTAAGGTGCACCTAATAAAGTGGCCAGTGTGTGAAGATGCAAGTAACATCAATGCATCAATACATTCCCAAATGACCAATAGGTGACGCTGTTACCAAACTGATTTGTTGAGATGATGATGATGGACAAAGTTGGATGATTTAAAGAGATACAACCTGAGATGGAGTTCAGGTATCAAATTGGTCAATATGGTAAACATAAACTCACCCATCAACAGTAAGTTCATAACATTATGCTGGATGACAATCTTAGCAAATTTGGTTAAGTTAGAAACTTAAGTCAATAATGGCATTATTTGTATCAATGTTCAAGGAAAACAAGACCAGTTTTATGATAAAAGACAAAACTAAACAAACATAATAAGCATGTTTTTAAAAATTGTTATAATTTAACAAGGAGTTACTGCCCGAAAGTTACTGTATCTTCAGGGCATGGTGTTTAAGTTCTGTAGCGATACGTCAATGTGTTTGAAAAATATAGTATTCCACAGCAATCATCAAAATGGGTGAAAATGAGATATTAACCAACGTTAACCAGATGTATACTGGCCCTCACACCAGTCTTGTGGTTTCTGGCCAAAGCATTTAGAAGTGACCAAAACACACAGTGTAACATAAACATAATCAAGGCACACACCCATGTTCTGCATACACAAAAGTGTATATTTCACTTCAGCAAGCTTTTTTGTTAAATTAATTTGAGCGTTACTCAATCCGGAATCTAAAACAGTTCAAAGAATAGTAAAATACAAGTCAAGTGCTTCATAATGGCTGAACATTTCAATAATGTAAATAATTAATTTGGTGCAAACAGTACATAGCAATCCAGAGCAATCATTTAGCTTTTACAGTTCAATAATTATTATTAGCATAAACATGAATACATATTTGGACAGGTGGTGGCACCGTTGGGGTAGTTACTAGACAATACACTCACGGGCCACTATATTAGGTAAACTTTACAAGTACCATGTTGGTCCCCTTTTTGCCTTCAGAACTGCCTTAATCCTTCATGGCATACATTCAACAAGGTGCTGGAAATGTTTCCCAGAGATTTTTTTACATATTGACATGATAACATCACACAGTTGCTGCAGATTTGGATTGAGTTCTGGTGACTGTGGAGGCCATTTGAGTACAGTAAACTCATTGTCATGTTCAAGAAACCAGTCTGAGAAGATTCACGCTTTATAACATGATGCATTACCTCTTCCCCCCACCCCCATTACACCACCAGCCTGAGGGTTGATAAAAGGCAGGATGAATCCATGCTTTTATGTTGTTGACACCAAATTTTGCCCCGACTATCCAAATGTCGCAGCAGAAATTGAGACTTATCAGACCAGGCAATGTTTTTCTAATCTTCTATTGTTTTTGGTTTGTAGTCTCAGTTTCCTGTTCTTAGCTGACAGGAGTGGCACCCGGTGTCGTCTTCTGCTGCTGTAGCTCATCCGCCTCAAGGTTGGACGTGTTGGGTGTTCAGAGATGCTCTTCTGCAGAACTTGTTTTTAAAAAGTGCTTATTTGTGTTACTGTTGCCTTTTTATCAGCTCGAACCAGTCTGGCCATTCTTTTCTGACCTCTGGCATCAACAAGACATTTGCACCCACAGAACTGCCGCTCACTGAATATTTTCTCTTTTTCTGACCACTTTTTGTAAACCTTAGAGATGGTTGTGTGTCAAAATCCCAGTCGATCAGCAGATCACCTAATAAAGTGGCCATTAAATGTAAATGTTGTGGTTATTCTGTGGGGCAAAATTCACATCTTATTACCGTACAGTCTACTGGGCTGCCATAGACTTCAAGAGAGGGAAAAAATAAAGACTACTTTTAGTGCTTGGCCCCTAACAATAATAATAATGGTGTACAGTATTTTTATAGAACAATATCAGATACAAGACCAAACATAGAGATTAGATCATATTCTCTTCGTATGCTTTAATAGATGATTCTCACTCTCATTAACAGGAGTTACTTTTCAGGGCAGGATCAATGGCATAAGGTGAAATAAAATCAAATAAATAATATCAACGAAGCACCACAAAATGAATAAAAGGCATGAATCTAAGTGGCCTACATTCAGTAAAACCTTCTTTCTTTATATTTATATATATATAAAAAAATTATGCAAAAACATCAAGCAGGGAAACCTACTTTGGACCTAATTATAAAAAGAAGTTAACATTCACAGTTCAGCGAAAAATAAAACAAAAATGAAAATTGCCACAGCAAGGACTTTGTTTTCCCTTTTAAGACATATTTGGGGGCTTCAATTATAGACTATTCGGTGAACTTCCAGAATGCAACACTGCCAATGAACTCCCTGTGAAGCACCATAAATCAAATCACTCTCAAGCCACAGTTACAATATGATGCAAAAAAAAAGCTGCGGAGCTACACTAAAACACAAAGAGCAATGTAAAATCTGAATCATAACAGCAAATCCTCAAAGGCCGGAGTCAGAAAATGCGTCTGGATGCTTCGCCGTCCTCCAGGCTTCAGTATCATCACACACGGCACCACAGCGCTCTCTGGAGGAGCCCACGCAAAACAACATCAGACCAACAAAACCGAGAGCTCAGGAAACTTCAAACACAACAATACAAAGAGCCGAACGAAGGGAAGGCTGATTTGTGGACGTGGAGGGACAGCAGAAACAGAGAGATATGTGCACGTCTCCCCTCAGTGCATCAGTGGGTCTTCACATTGCGGCAGGAGGAAGAGACATTACTTCTTCCAGATGGTGTAAAACACCCATCTGAGGCAGCAGGTTAAGGAGGGGATGTTCCTTCATGTGAGGTCAGTTCAGATTTCAGTGGACAAAAGACAATTCATACATTTTAATTTTATGTAAGATCAAAACTGGGCGATGCAGTGGCGCAGTAGGTAATGTGCTGTCACCTCACAGCAAGAAGGCCGCTGGTTCGAGCCTCGGCTCAGATGGCGTTTCTGTGTGGAGTTTGCATGTTCTCTCTGCGTTCGCGTGGGTTTCCTCCAGGTGCTCCGGTTTCCCCCACAGTCCAAAGTTTTGCGGTACAGGTGAATTAGGTAAGCTAAATTGTCCATAGTGTATGAGTTTGTGTGTGTGAATGAGTGTGTGGATGTTTCCCAGAGATGGGTTGCGGCTGGAAGGGCATGCGCTGCGTAAAAACGTGCTGGATAAATTGTGGCGACCCCGGATTAATAAAAGAACTAAGCCGACAAAAAAATGAATGAATGAATGAAGATCAAACTGTTGACATGTGGGGGAAAACTAGCTGCTATTAATTATTTTATAATTCTCTAGCAAGTGTTTATTACATTATGGCTTGTTATATGATTATAATAACGGTATAAGTGTTAGAATTTAAACAAAACAAACAAATAAATGTTTACAAAATCAAAAACAAAACAAAATAATGAATTTTAAAATCATTTTAAACAACAATAATCAATGCACTTCATATGCACATAAAATTCGACACTGTTTTACGTTAAAATAATTACTTATGGTGTGGTGGTTATGAGTATTTTGGTATTTCCTTGACAATTATAGTCATTATATTTCACAATATATAACAACATAATTGTTCGTTTTGTTTGTTTATATTTAATTAAACTATTAACTAGGTCTGCACAATATATTATTGCACAATATTTATCGTAGAAAGAAAGAAGAAGAAAAAAAAAGAAGAAAAAAAAAATCGCAATAACAGATTTTATCAACATCGTGCAGCCCTACTATTAACTATTTAAAAGTGACTAATCAATGTGACTAATCAAACAAAGCTCTAGGTAATTGTAACTTCAGGGTATCTGCAGGTATCAACAAGTCAAATGGAAGACTTTTTAAAGACCTCCTATTATGGGTTTTTGAATATGAGCATCCATGCAGTGTGTAACATGTAAGTGAAATATCCAGCTAAGGCTTAAATCTGAAAGTGCACTGTGTTTAAAACTATTGATTCATCTATTGATTCATCTATAGGAGTCGACTCATAGTGGTTTGAATTAATCACAGCGGTAACGAGTCTTTAGTGTGAGAGAAAAGTTAATGTTATATTCCCTAACCCAAACATGAGGCTGTGAAGAGTAAGTAGTTGAAGTTTATTTTTGCAAAAATACCCTGAACATTATAGCCCCAGCCTTGTGCTGTGTTCCCGTCATTTTTCTGACAAGTGCTTCAGCAATCTACACACTTATAACACAGTTCATGGATCATTTCCTTCCTCTATTTCACAAGTGTAAGTAAATGTGATTAAAATGGTTGCCTCCTTGTTTTCTCTAGCTTGCAAATTATGTATTTTATTGTGTTTTGTTACTTGTAACTGCTTGTAGTGTACCTGATTAACTCTTTATATTCTCATATCGCTTCTAAATCCACATTGAAAATGTGCCGCGTGCCGCTCTGTTTACGGCTTACGCTTGTAAGCTCGCTATGCACTCCAATTTTTTTACATTTACATTTAGTCATTTAGCTGACGCTTTTATCCAAAGCGACTTACAAATGAGGACAAGGAAGCAATTTAGTAATTTTTTTTTTTGAGTACAGTTAGTGGTATATCCAGAGAGGCAATTGCAGATTAGGAAGTGAAGTGGAGACTTTTTGACCTTGCATGCATATCAGCCTGTTGTTGGAGCCCCCAAAACCAAAGTATGACCTTTTTTTAATGCATAATAGGGGCTCTTTAAGATGATCAAGAATTTAATTTTAGACTTATATAGGTCTTAATGCTAAGGATTTTTTTAAATTTTACTTTAAGATTTTTTTTTTTTTTACTTTTAATTTACTTTTTTACAACATCAAAAATCTTAGTCACATATTTAAAATAACGTGTCAAAACAAGCAGACCCTAGTTCTAAACATATTGTCTAAAAAAAAAAAACTCTTTAAACATGAAACTTAAACTAAATGTATGCACAACAAACTGTTAATAATTAAAATAATTAATTAAATAGTATTAATTATACTGTAAAAAGAGTTTTGCTAAAAGGTTTATTAAGATTTATATTGTCTGTGATAGGATGCGTGTTGAATCGATTGGGTAGCTTTACATTAAGAAGGGAAAATTAAGACCCGTTTAAAATTATTTAAGACCTACAAGAAAATATTTCTCTGAATTTAATTCTTTTTAAGGCCTGAATTTTAGCTTTTGAAATTAAAAACATTTTCTAGACTTGAAGATTCTGCGGACACCCTGAACTTATTTTACTTTTAATAAATAATTTTTCCAGAAATTGTTTACTAAAGTATGGCTTTCTTGGGGTGTGTAAATTTAGGATTAATAAACAGTGCAAGTATAGATGGATGGATTTATACAAAAATATATGTATAAATATAAATATATTAAAGTAAAGTACAGTGTCAAAATAATTTTTTGTTTGTTTATTTATTTACTGCCACATCAGCAACTAATAGCTATTTCATGGCAATATAAATAAACATAAAAACATTAGATAAGAACAACTTCATATTTCAATAAGAGTTGACGCACAAACAAATAAATAAATAAAAAGGTAACAAATTTCACAAAAAATTACATTATAAGATAAATAAGATTTTTTTTGTTCAAATTCTTCCTGATGATACCTTTATAAAAACATCTAAGTGTTCTTATTACAATAATCTTGTCTAATGTTACTTTCACATTCTAATAAAATATATTTTATGGTGACAGCAGCGCAGTCAAACTTATATATACTTAAAAAAAGAACATTTAAAATAAGCTAAAAAAAAGCAATTTATGCTTTTACTGTCATATTTCTTCCAAAATAACTATTTCTCTATTAGAGAATAATTTTAAAAAGGATACAGCTCCATATAGGAGGGAACACACACCACCTCTTTGGAAAAGTCGACTTTGCATGAAAGTCTCCCCAAAAGCTTTTCATATTCGTTGAGCGCATCAGTCAGGTTCACACAATTACCCTGCAGGCAGAAAACATCATGAACACAATATAGAAATATACAATCCCAGCATTTCCAAACAAATATAAAATGGCCCTCTCACCTGTGTGAAATACTTCCCACCTGGCCGCAAAACTCTGATCGAGAGGTCAAGGATGAGTCTCAGGAACTCCCATGTTGAATCTACAGAAGCAAACAAGTCAACAATTTAACTGATTTAAAGGGACAGTGCATCCTAAAAAGGGAAACTCTCTCATTATTTACTCATCATCTATTTCCAAACCTATTTCAGTTCATTTCTTCTTTAGAACACAAAGGAAGATATTGTGAGGAATGCTGGGAACCTGTAACCATTGAGTTCCAAAGTCTTCGTTTTTCATACTATGAAAGTTAATGGCTCTTAGCTTCCCAACATTGTTCAAAATATCTTTGTGTTCAATAGAAATAAAAGAACCACTTGAGGAAAAGTAAATGGTGAGTAAACGTGTGTTAATGTGTGAGGCTTGTAAAGACATACAAACTAACCCTCCTCAGGTGCTGTGGAAATAGGGACTGCTGTCAAGTCATTGATGACATAATCAAATGTCCTCCCTTGCTCTGCAAACTTTTTCAGTACAGGAACACAATCTTGCACCAAAATCTGAAGGAAAAGGAGGAAACATAAAGGTGATATTCGTCATGAGAAACAAAGCATCATATTGTTAGCCATAAAAACTGGCAGTTGCCCAGAGTTTGGGTAATTTCCCTCAACTGCCTGCATAGGACTTGTTTCAAAAGCAGGAAAGGGGCCGCATTGTTACATCAAGCTAAAAAAAAAGTAACTGATTACAAGACAAAGAGCCAAAACAGGACCAAGAAATGTGAATGTATGATACAGTGTTATATACTATGCTGTTTAAAAGTTCCCAGCCAGTTGAAATGATCATGAAGATAATTCTTTCATATAGCAAGACACATTACATAATCATTCTGTAATTCTGACCTTTACATTTATCCTGAAATTCCACGAAAAGATTAAGCAGCAAAACTGGTTTTCAACAGCGATTCTCAGAAATGTTTGAGCAGCAAATCGACGTATTAAAATGATTTCTGAAGGATCATGTGAAATTAAAGACTGGAGTAATGCATTTTGGGGAAAATAAGTCACAGTAGAATTGCATTGTTGAGAGAAAAAAATAAAAAAGATACAAGCCCTAAATGAAACAAAAAATAAACATGTATTTTAGCTGGCCCTCACACCATGAGAAACATGGCCATTTGGATATCTCTGTAGGCACAGGACGTCAACATGATGTCAGATTGATGTTGCACTCCAACGTAGCATTTTGGGTGGAAATGAAAATCGCGTTGACGTCAGAACCCAATGTCAAACTGACATCAGTGTCCAACATTTGGTCAATTTTTTCAACCCAAACTAAAAACAATCAAAATATCACTAGCTATGTTTCCACCCAAAAGTGCGAATGAACTTTATGCGCCAAACCGGATTATCGCATAAAAACTTGCGAATAAAGCAGTGTTTCCATATAACAAGTTAAAGCGAACAAAATCGTCACTTTTTAAATTAACCGGCACCAGTAAAAACTGAAATTGCTGCGATAGGAGAAGCTGCGTCAATCTTTTCTTCATCTAATAAATGACTTGCACCACAGAAGGCAATCCTGACACGCAGTAAACACGCGGTGGCGTTTGAAGGTGTAGAGCACAGACGCTCTTGATTCTGAAGGTCATTAATAATATAATAACACTAATACTTAAACGATAAGGCGTTTTGGAATGACCAAAACAATATTTCAGATGTTTTACAATGTGCTCAGCCTGCTGGTTTGTCCTTTACACACATTTTTATCATCACATAATCTCTTATAACAAAATCACATGACCTTTTTTTAATGCGCATGCTGGAGTTTGTGCGGTAAAAGTGTTTCCATCACAGTTTATGTGCATCTTTTCTTATTAAATAAAGTTTATCCTACAGTTACGTGCAAATGTTTTTATGTGCATTTTCAAAATTTATGCACATCATGGCGTTTCCATCAACCATTTTTTTATGCGCATATGCAAAATCATTAGCTACCGTCTAATGATATTACAGCTTGACACTGTGTGGATGTTACAACTATGATGTCTATCAGATGTTGGATTTTAGTTGCTATACCTAACAAATAAATGTCAGTATTTGACGTCAATTATGATGTTGGTTTAAGGTGTTGGCTCGATGTTGGATTTTGGTCATTTTCCAACACAATCTAAAATCAACCAAATAGCAACAACATTTGACGTCATTAATGAACATTAAAATAACGTTGTCCTTAGACATTAAATTTTGGTCACCCGACATCACAACCTAAATCTAACCTAATATTAACATCTTATGACGTTGTGTGCCTGCTAGGATAGGACACCATAAGTGATGTTTTATATTCAGACATTTTTCTTATTTATTTAACGTTTAACATTCCTTAAATTTTTTATGTTAAACTAAATCAAGCTTTAATCTGTATAAACTAAACCATCTCTTTAAATGTAAAAAATATGTTTCCTTGCATATGACTCACATGTGAGTGTTTACATGCAGCGAGTTTATATGTTTGTGCGTGTGTTAATGTGGGTGTTTATGAAAGGATCAAGTTTGTATGTTTATTCGAGTGTGTATAGGTTTGTTTGCACGCAGTGAGTTTATATGAATGTGCATGTGTTAATGTGGGTGTTTATGCAAGGATTGACATTATATGTATGTTAGTGTGTGTATGTGGGTGTATGCATGCAACAAGTTTATATGTACAGTATATTTGCAAGTTTTATATATTGTTTTGAACCTCCAATCGTATAGATGTATATGCGAGTAACTAATAGGAGTACATGCACATGTTTTAAGCATGTGTGTATAAGCAAAGTTTGATTTAAATCCAACACAGTGCCTCATACTTACAGGGTGTTGTTTTTTTCATTCACAAATGAAGATTTAACATTACTTTGCTTCACACTGTCAAGCTTATTTATGGCAGAAAATCAAGTTGTAACTCAAACTGAGACCATCAATGATGCTGTGTTTCATGTATAATGCCATTAAATGTATAACTTTAAAGTGATCCATTGTATAAACTATATGCATGATTAGAATGCTGACTTGCTTATTTTCCCAGCACTGTCAGTTTGGTTGTGTTTATTTTGTTAGTAAGACGAAAGAGTATAGCACATATTTCTTCATACAGTGCCCTCATTAGCGTGAGATGTTCGCTAATAATAAACCACTGCTTCTGCATTTATTTATTTTTTACGACTAAGCAAATAACAAAAAGGAAAGTACTTTCCCACACTCTATTGGACAGGCTTTATTTAAGCTCTGGCATTCTTGTAATAATGCTATTTATTGTGCTAGCTTGGCTAAATTAGTTTTGCGGTACAGCACCTCATCAAACTGCATTACTGCAAGCCCTTTCAAGTCATTGAATTGAACTATTTAACTTTCTTTGTGATGTTTTGTTAGCCATGTAAGTACATAAGGCCAAAATTGCAAAAATGTTATCAATATTGGGCAGTAAATGTCTAATTTTGGCAGTGTAGGAGTCTTCACCATAAAAAATAGAGGACTTTAGAATTTAAACTTGTATATGATTCCGCAAAAAGAGAAATCTAGATCAGTGGTCTCAAACTCAATTATGGGATATCGGTATAATCACTTTTGAATTAAAGCCACAGCATGTTTCAGCTTACAGAAAAAAACATCTGGAAAAATACTGTTAAAATATGGCTTTTCAAAATTTAGGCTGGACAGTTATGACCTTAAACTAAGCTGGTAATGTTTAGCAACCACAACTGACATAAATAAAAGCTTCTTTTAATATAATGTAATAACACAAATAATCACCTCAGTCAATCCTTACCTCGTAACAATCTCCCTTCAAGTTATCTAAAACATTCCCACAGGTCTTCCTCATGTGTTTCCGACATCCATCAATCACCAGTTCATCAATGTTAATACTCAATTAAGGAAATACCCAAAAGCAGTCAGACATTTATAAAGTACTTCACTATTTTAGGTGCTTAGCATAAAGGATATCTCAACCATGGTGATCATCTTTGGTTTGAGCTTCACCGCTTCGTGGAGAATCCCACCGTCTCCTCCTCCCAGAATAAGTACCTCCTTTCCAGCATAGTGCTCTTTGCCGCTGCCCATAATGGCCTGAGTGTAGGGCAGATCACTCTCTGCCAGATCTAACATTCGATCACAAACAATTACTATACACACACACGTGATACAACAACCTGAAAATCTGAAAGTTGTAAATAAGCCCAACTTACTGACATCCCCGTTAAGGATGAGCATATTGCCAAACTGTCGCGAGTGCAAGATTTTGATGTTCTGGTAGGCAGAATCCTTTTCATACACAACTTCATCAATGTCGTACTCCATCAGCCTGCCGTCAGCCGTGGGCCAGTACCGATCCACATCACTGCCTCGAATCAGCGCAGGGAGTCTGAACAGATTTATTCAGTTAAACAAACCATTTCGGTATTTGGTCACCACAATATAAAAGCATAATGCTGCAATCACACCAGACGCGGATGAAGTGTCAAGCGCGAGTGATTGACATGTTAAGTCTGTGCAAAGACAAGAATAGACATCCTGCGGCACATTTCTCCAGCGTTTGACATGCTTAATGTCAGTATCGCTTGAGTTAGAAAATCTGAACTCCAGCGGATATTTGTGCCGTGTTGACCAATCATGAGCTTGCTCTTGTAAGGGAGTGATTATGATGTAGGGCTTGTTGTTGGTGTCCCGAGGGGAAATCCTCCTGCCAACACTGGAAAACAGTTCACCAAATTGCACTCGGCTTAGTCTGAAGTACTGCTGTTTCTGGAAGAGCTGATAAACTTTGTTGGGTGCAACTCTGAAAGAATCTAGTGGACTCAAGACATGGTGCTGAACTAATATAACTTGTTTTTCAGCCTTCCTAAAGCACAGCTATTATTTCAATAAAAATCCAGTCACCGGGCAAACAGAAGCCCTGCTTATGATGCAAATCAGCATCTATTGTGAAGTGAATTTGACATGTGAATGAATTGAATTTGATGCGGGAATAATACGAGTAAACTCAAAATGTTCACGCATCTATTTACGCATGAATAGCCTGATTTATTTGCGCATGTTGCGACTGGTGTGAACACAGCAAAAGAATAAATTACCAAATGTGAGAAGATTGTTTTTATGGAAACCGATTCACAGTAAAAATGATGATAGCTTCACCTCTTGATCCTTTGGATATTTCCATCTAGAAGAGCCTTTAATTTTTTCTCCAGTGCATTCAGTAGCTACAAAGAAAAAACAAACATCTTAATCGTTACTTTCTGAACCAGGACAAAAACAGGATGGAAGAACATTCAAGAGCAATAATATTTATATCATATATAAAAAGAAAAATGTGAAAGACAAACTAAAAATAAAGTCTGAATTGCAAAACGTAAACTAACATATATTTAAGTAAACAAATATTTGTTTTCCATGACTTTTTCAAAACTTTGTGGGTTTTTCTGTTTTTCTAAAACTTTTCCAGGCATGGAAAATGCCATGTCAAAACTCAAAACTGACTTTTCCAGGGTTTCCATGACCATATAAACTCTGAATTAGGGATGCTTCAATCGATCGGCCGAAGAACGGTATCGGCCTATAATCACATTTCATGACCTGATCAGTACTCGCCAATCTGGCCGATCTCATGGACCAATTGCAGGGGTTTGTTTATGAGTTTACAAGCAGAGAAAGATGCACAAGCGCTCCCATATATTACACATAGCCCAAGCCAAAGTAAAACGAATTAATTGTTTTCTGTAAAGCTGCTTTTGGCCATGACATGTTCACACCTAAATGGTTATAAAAGATGTGTTTAAGGTAATATAAGGAGCATCCTTAATTTATTATCTTAGGTAAGGCGAGATCTTATCTTAAGGAACATACATAGAGTAAAAATGTGCTTCATGCATTATAAATTTTGAATCTTTACTCTGTATCGGCCGATCACCATGACAAGGAATCGGTACTTGGTATCGGCTGCAAAAATCCTGATCAGAGCATCCGTTCTTACAATACTATTTTACTATAAATTATACATTTACAAATATGCATTTAAACTGTCAGTTATTACCGTTACCATTTTATAAATAATGTTTTGAGATTAGCATTTTAAATTAAAAAAAATATAAATAAATATGAAAAAAACATTTTTAAAATGCTTATTTTTATCTATTATTAAAAAATAAAAAACAATTAGCAATCTGTTAAAACTTGTATAAAAATTAAAAATTGTAGCCTATAGGCAAATCACAAACTGGCCAGCTCATTCAACTTTCCTCAGTCAGAATTTTTCCATTTGAATAATTTGTCTTAAATTCTGGACATAGCAGTCAAAAATTGGACAAATAACCTCATGTATGGAATAATTCTGGACTTTTTCAGTCGGGGGTGGGTCTTTCAAACCACCCAAACTGCCCCTGGCTACAACGCTGGTTTATATCTGAAATTTACTGTATACGACAGTGGTGTTTTAGGAGCCACTACAAAAACTATGCTGCAAACTCACAATGTTGTGATATTACATGCATATTCATATTACATGTTCAGTCTAAATTGAATGGATTACAGAACCATACAGTGCATATGCATAATACAGGACGTTTAATCATTTTTGAGGATCATGAAATATGTATATTCAGTTGAGGACTGCTAAAGACAGACTGCCTAGTTTGAGGTTGTGCTGAATCCAACGCAAAATTAACAAAAAGCTGAATTTTTTTTTGGATCATGCAAAATTCTTAATTTAACTGCAAAACAATCACAAAAAAGTAAAGAATTTCATATAACATTTAGTTCTAAAGCATATAATCAAATTAGATTAATTTCAGTTTGCAATTTATTGTTTTACATGACTTACAGACATTGCATACGCAAGCGTATTAAGTCTCTCGAAAAATGACGCGTCACCTGCGCCCTTACAGTCCTAACATTACATGAGAGTGGGGGTAAATGTTTTGCAGCCTAAGCAGTAAGCAGACGTGGATGAATCATGAGTGATCTACATGTGAAGTCAATGCAAAGATGTGATCAGACATCCTTTGACACAAATTGAGTGAATAACATAGCGCAAATTGGGTGATTTGTGCGTTTGACGCACTTCAGAAAGCAAAAGAAAAGTGGGAGCAAACATCTAACAAACAAAGCAACGGAACAGACAGAAAAACAGCTTACAAAGATGGAGATTGATTGACGGATGGATGATGGCCGCTGGATGTGACCGAATTGAAGGACCTTATTTGTGTTTTATTTATGTATAGCTGGTAGCCTATTACGATGTGCATCAAATCGATAAATGATTTTGCTTAACTCTTTTCCTGCCACTGACAAGAGAAAACGCTTTCCTGCCATTGACGAGTAGGGGAAGCCCTGACGCATGTCCTGAGTGAGGTACATGATGTCAGATGCTCCAGGGATTGAAAGATTGTGGATAAAAGTAAGAGTTATACAACCTTCCTTTGGCTTAATCTCTACAATTTTACATCTTGTCTTGACAAGAGACCAAAATAAAGAACTTTATTTTTATGATTGCACACCTAACAGAGTATTTTATGTTTATTCATCATTTTTCATCTTAAAATAGTCTGCAAATTTTTGGAACTAACAACACAAATTCAGTCATTTTTAATCGCAAAAAAAATCATGAACAACTGGGGGTCTGTAAAGATTGGTTTCATAAAATTATTAGCGTTTTTGAAGATTAACTCTCTGTGGAAAAAAAAAATTCATATACTACTATTGCCAACTGCAGTGTTTCCCAACTCTGTTCCTAAAGGCACAACAACAGTACACATTTTCAACCTCTCCCTAATCAAACACACCTGAGATGAAAGGATCAGATAAAGGAGACATCCAAAATATATACAGTTGATGTGCCTCTAGGAACAGTGTTGGTAAACACTGGCCTACTGCATTCCATTAACTCACATTGTCCACTTGCGCTGCATCGTCTCCTTCAAGACACTGCAGGTCAAAGGTCACCAGACCATGGGAGTGCATTCGTAAGATGGCAAACCTGATACAAAAAAAATACACAAAACTCAATTAAAACCACACAACTAGTCAAAAGAAATGCACCAAAAAGTCATATGCAGCCAGATTCATCCCAGCTTAAGCTTAAACAAAGCCCCAACAGCTGTGTTTACAGCAAGCCACACACAAAACAGGAAGTGACTACCAAAGCCTTTAGATCAGATGCACAAAGCCACCCAAATGACCCCACGCTCTTCTAAATGCTGCCCTTTGTTGCGCAGAGGATGCACTTAACTGGCCAATCAATGGTCATCCTAAAGAGAGTCTGGACGCAGGAGCACACCTGGTGTTTTCAGTGGTCAGTCATCAGTATTGTCAGTTAGCTTCAACATTATGCTTAGCTGTTACAGAGACAAAATGAAAACACTCCATGGAATGGCCCAATGGAGGGGAGAGAGCGTGTCTCTTTCCTACAGAATTCCAGCATGAGTCATGGCAAACAAATTAGCCATAATGAAAGGGCAGTTACAGCATCATCATCCATAATTCAAATTCAGGTCCCTCCCCCTGTAAGCAAAACAAAACCTGATTTGCATGCTGTGAAGGACTCTGATGTACTACGAAAGGCATTTTGCTCACCTGCTATTCTTGCCGATGAAGGTGGCCAGATATCCGTGTCCCTCAGAGTCGTGGACATTCTCTGTCATTTCCTGCTCTTGAAATATAGACTGCAGGCCACGCACAGTCGCAGAGACATCAGCTAAACAGAGAGAGGGAAAAAACAGAAGGATTATATTTTACTCCATCTTAAAAAGCCCTAAAAGCCCTTTCCAAACACTAATTTCCCTATAGTCAATCAGGCTCCTATATTAGGAAGATATTTTAAGGATTAGTTCGCACCTAAAAAGCTTTTTCTGTTATCACTTATTGACAAATAACAGATATTGAGACCTAACTATTAAAAAGACATACACTCAGTTTCTTGCACAGACCAAATGTTTTGCTTCAAATGCCTCAAAGCGTCTTCTGGTGATTAATCAAAGGTAATTTTCAGGCGCATTTTGTCTATAAAAGCAATTTAGTTCTACACAGAGTCGTTTATACACTGAAAAGCTACGCGAAATTGAGTTCAACATGGATATTGATTCAACTGGATGATAATGAAATCAAGATAACAGTTCTACAGCTCTGTGTAGGAAATGCCTCACGTGAAAATACCACACTTAATAACTTGTTTTCAATCCAAACCCACTTCAATCGAGTGTTTGAAATAATCCTTCAGTGAGATGATTCCATAGTTGTGTGATTATTAGTCACGCAGAACTAGGGCTGGGCTGATAAACGATATTATATCGAATCGTAAAATAATTAATGTCAATAACAATGACATGCTCTAAACTTTTTTTACTCTATATTGATCTAAAAGCCATTCGCACAGCAGACATGTGCAACAACAGGAATCTAAGTGTGATAATAATGGAGATTTATATAGTAAACTCTCTCATTTTTGTAGCTTCAGTCATTGTTGGGGTACTCTTTTAAATCTGGGAGCATTAACAACTTATTTCAGAATATATATGTATCGTTATAGTTCAATATGGAAAATAATTAGAGATTGCATTTTTGCCATATCGCCCAGCCCTACGCAGAACTAAATAAAGTTGTTAAATCTTCTGTTTATAATGCAAGGCTATAGGAGTTTCTTCTTTCTGGCTATTTGGCTTCTTTGCACAAAAGCGCCCTTTCGCAGGAGATTTCCTGCAGACCACCCAACCATGCTTCTCTGACAAGATGTGCATGAGAATCACAGCTTTGCGCAATCGCATTTTGATTAATCAGCCAGCTCTATTAGACAGCATGTATGATACATATTAGGGATGCACAATATGTCGTTTGAGCATCATCATCGCAATGTGCATGTCTGCATTAGTCACATCGCAGGATATGCAATGTTGAGTTATGAATAAAGATAACCAGAACCCACAGGCAAAAACACATGAAATTTGTGGAAACACTGCAGAATTTAAAAATTAAAGAGTGAAAGTTTAAAATTTTCATGTCTTTTTAAGGTCCATGAGAACCTTTTAAGAGAACATAAAGAGCATAAAAAAGTTGTAAAATATATATATTTTATTGAATTATTTAATTGATGAAGACTATGCAATGCCCTTTTACATCTGATTCCTAAACTTTTGTCCCGGAATACTGTTAGACACTTCCCAGAAAACTATTAATCACTGTTTATTCCACTTAAACATTTGCTCTATTGTGTTTATTTATGACAGTAGTTTGTTTATTATTTCCAGGCCCGGATTGGCTAATCGGGAGGACCGGGAGAATTCCCGGTGGGCCAGTCCGTTTTTTGGCCGCGAGGGCCGGTGTCCCTAGCTCCAGAATCTGTTGCTCTCAGCATTCACACTTTTTAAATTAATTATATTTTTTACTTGACCACAGTTTTATTCATTATTTTACCGCAGCTCTGCTCTTTTTATCTATTTTCTGGTGGTTAGCACATTAGGATACGACGCTGCGGACCCGGGTTTGATCCTCGTCTGAATAGTTTTTTTTTTTATAATTTTTTTTATTGTTAAGACATAATACTGTTATGGTTGTTGAACATTTGAAGTTCTAAAGCAGCTGTTTTCTCAAAAAAAGACGTGATAGTGTAATTAGAAACTGAATTGGAAATGTCCTTATTTTAATATAGTCAGTCGTGAACTGAGGCGGGCCGGTCTGAGGCTTGAAACTCCAGGACTGAAAAGGGGTCCCACTCCGGCCCTGATTATTTCTATATAATAAATTTCATATATTTATATTTACTCCCATATAAATCATCCAATCAAATAAAAGTAATGGCTTTCCACATAAAGCTATTTAAGTCATATGGTGATATTGTGTTTAGTGCTTTTCCTTATAGAAAACACAACAGTAATCTGGTAGTCTTTGCTCTGCTTTGCTTTTTTCGGGGTTAACTGTTGTGATATCCCGACAGTAACAAAGAAATACTGGGAAATATCTCTAGACTGATGTAATTTCATGCCGTTTAGGCTTATAATCTTATAATGTCCTCAAATTCACCTGTTTTGACATCAGTTTAGATATTACACTAGAGAATCATTTAAATACTAGCTCTAAAGTGACATGTGTGAAGTAGCAATGGTTTCTGCTGTTCTGATGTCAGCTGCAGATGTTGAATGAATGGCAGAAGAAAGTAGTTCCACATAAAAAAAGGGTTTTTAGACTGTCCATGTTTGATTTTCTTTTATTAACACGATTGTGCCATCAAACTGTTGTATAAACACAATATCACACTCATAGCAGTGTGATGTGGCTGTATATCGGCACTGGTGGGTCACTAAGGCACTCATCCTGCAGCCTCGTGCCAACACACGCTTAATTTGAAAGTCTAAAATGAGTGCAGCGTGGAGTGTTTTCCTACATGCCTGGCTGGCTGCCTCGTTTCTATTGGGCACATGAGGGCATTCATCCCAGGTTCATTAACAACACTTCAAAAAAAGTTTTTTAAGTTGTTCATCGGCAAATAGAGTCCTTGGTAATCCGGACCAATTATAGGGTTGCAGTTATTTGTGGGTCATTTGCATCACACTACTTGCATTGTATTTGCATTGCCTCAAACAATAAACATTGCATATTTTTATAAGTAATGTAAAAGTAGTCAAAACAAATGACAACACTGGTGTTGCTTCTTTTTCGTGTAACAACAGCACGGTGAATCACAGTAAACCTAAATTTTTTTTTTTCATTTATTATTATTTTGACTATTATTATTATAACTATTTATTGTCGATTGATTTATTTTCTCATTAATTTTTTTTATATATTATTTTGCGTTAAACAATAAAAATAATGAGAAGATTGGATTTTTTTCTTGTGGAAAACCTGATGCGGCCCAGCCTCACCCAGACTCTGCCTCCAGCGTCCCCCAGGTAAATTGAGTTTGAGACCCCTGCTTTTTATGTTGCATTTTGCAAATTACCAAAGTCCAGTTTCAGCTGAAGATCTTCCACTGCAGAAAAGAAATCTCGAAAAACCTGTAAATTAAGTAAACTACAACTGCAAATTTTCATTCTTGGATGAACTATCCCTTTAACTGTGTTTGCATCTGTCATTATGCTTAACTTCATCTTTTGTTTTCAATGGAGGACAGGAAAGTCAAACTGGTTTTGAACAGCATGAGAGCCAATAAATAATTCACATTTTTGGGTCAGCTGTTCCTTAAAAATGCACAAATCACAAAGAATGCTCTGCTTTTGTGCATTCACATGATGACAATTTAATTGTGGCATTCGGATTTATCCACAATAACAGGATATGCTGCAAAACAATCAATTTAAACCTAGTTACACACATCAACCCTAACATGCCAATCCATATTGATTCCTGTCCGTTTTACACTGCAACAGTCAGAACTGCTGACCTACATTTTGTCCTAAAAATCAAAATACAAGATACCTACACCTGTCACGCTTCTCACAATTTGAATGTCACAAAATATGATAGCTCCAAATACAAGTAAGGCTTGCGATATTATTAGCCAGTGAAATAGAGGCATTGGAAATGAAGGTAAGAGACTTCCAAAGCCTGTCAGCGTACAGCAAATCTAAATGTGTCTTAAATACACATACTAGCTAGCTATAACGGGTATAACGGGTAGTAGGAACACTCTTATCAGGAGTATACAAGGAACTATAGGTTTTGGTACGCAATGCGGCTAACTAGTGAACATTATTTATTTATATGAGCTCCATTCAAACGTATGAGTCCGAGCCGAAGCCAGTCCTGAGGACAACCTACTGTACGTTAGCCTCTGCTAGCACCGCTATGCTACCCTCCAGAAGGTCATTTATCAGAGCAAACGTCAGGAGAATTTGAACGACAAAAGCAGCTTTAAGCTCGATTGCAGTGACTAACAGGCATCCCGCGGCCGTCTCGCAATGCAGCAGCAGCGGGGCCACGGGAGACAATAAATCGCTTACGGAGCAGTTGCGAGGAGGGAGGCCCGTGTGTCTGCAGAGCAACACGAGCCCCCTCTCTGCTTCTGCGAGCCCTGTTCATTCATTTCGCGGACATTTACCTGGCGCGCGGAGCTTGAAGTCGAGGGTGTAATGTAGCACTGCCATGATGGGGTAAAGCCGTCTGCCATGCCTGGATGAGGCAGCCGGAGGTGAATCGGTGGAGAGTCTGTGGTGGTGTCAGAGAGAAGCAGCACGCCGGCGGGAGGAGGAGGTGTGTGTGTTTGTGTGTGTGCGTGCTGTGCTGGGGTTGCGTTGCGTTGCGTTGCGTTTCTCTCTCTCTCTCTCTCTCTCTCTCTCTCTCTCTCTCTCTCTCTCTCTCTCTCTCTCTCTCTCTCTCTTTCTCTCAATTCAATTGAATATTTGCTTTTTTTTTGCATGACAAATATTACAAATGAATTGCCAAAGTAGTTCTAAAGTTTACATAAAAATGAAAGAACGTACATATAAACACAGAAAAAAGCATAGTAAACGGTAGTAGTAGTTAAAAAAGTAAATACATATACATATAGATATATACATATAATATACATATAATAATTCAATGAAAATAAAAATGAAATATTATTTTAATCAATGTATCATATTATTATTTAATATATCATATTATTATTCAACATCATATTATTCATACCCCTCTCTCAATTCGATACAAATTTGATAAATACATTCACATATAAGAAAAAGACTATGGTTATTAAAAAGATTATGAAAGGAAAAAATAATTTGAAATAAAATACATAACTGTACATTTGTTCATTTTTGTCATGTTTCTGACTCTCCTATGCAAATAATTACTGGTATGACTAGTCAAGTAGTGTCAAAAAACAATTAAAAATTCGATAAACAGGCTCGTAGCCAGCCTGGTCAAAGGGGTGGTTATTCTTTCTCAAAAACTGGACCTTTTGCAGTTATTCGCATTGTTTTCTACTTTATTATGAGATTTAAATACTACATTTTTGTGTCATTTTTAAGCACAATTTATTTAATTTTTTTAGGTGAATTAGCTTGTCAGATGGTCATCATAACCACTCTTTTTGATGTACCAAAGATATTTCCCAAAGATTTAAATTAAAGAAATATAAATAAATACTTATTTTTAACATAAAAAAGTATTACATTATTACATTACAAGGAATTTATTACATTAGAAATCTGTTAAAGCTTTTCACTAAAAACTGTAGCCACATTGTCATTTATTAGGTAAAACAAACTGGCCAGCTCATTCGACTTTCCTCTGACAGAATTTGGTCATTTGAATGATAAAAAATATAAATATAATAATAATAATAATAATAATAATGTAGATCTTCACTATTTTTCTAGCCGCTCTTATAAAAAGTACATTTGAAAATTAGTATTTAAATTTATAGTAAAAGTTAGTGGTAAAATGTTTTCTCCATTTAAAAACAATACAGTAGGGAAAGATGGCTTCACTTAGGTCAGATTGTATGTTTTCTTGCACTGCTGAATGTTGGACTCTTAAAAAATAATAGCCATATGTTCCTCTACATAATTCGTGATCTCTAAATGTATATAGGGGTATGTTTTCAGATTGAGCCCATGTTGCAAATAATTGTTTGTTTGCATTAGCCAAAACTGATTAGCTGAAGTCTCACAGAAGCAACAGCCAACCCAGGATTCTGCTTGGTCTTAAAGCCTTTTTCCCAAGGGTTATTTTCACTGTTTATGATGGCATAGCAGTCAAAATAAGTGAGCACATGTATGGGACAAATTCTGGACATTTGTCAATGAGGGGTGGGTCTTTCGAACCACCCGAACCCCCCTGGCTACAGGCCTGATAAACACATACACCAATACGAAAAAGACTATATGATTATTAAAAAAGATAATGAGGGATAAATAATTTTAGTATAAAACAAAATGTGCAATACATTTATTCAAATGATTTGTAACAATGTCCCTTTCTGTCTCTGTCAAATCAAATCAAATCAGTTCAAAGCTTTATTGTCATGACTTGACAAGCATTGACAAAGCAGCATGTTACATAAACATCAAACAACATACATTAAAAACATCAGAACTTAGTCTGAATACACACACAAACAAGAAAAATACTAGTATACACAACCTATATGTTTTCAGATGATATGTAATATCTCTCACTCGTTTGTCCACTGGCTGACTTTTTGTGTTATTTTACTGCTTGTGACATTAAGCTGGAGTTATCTCCCAGGATATGCCTCAACCTTTCTGAATATGTGAGAGTTATGTGAGTTGGTGTTATTTGCTGGAATTTGTTGAAATATGTGGATCTAATGTTGTGGTAATGTTCACAGTGCAGCGGGTAATGCTCCTTAGTTTCCACCATTTTACAGTCAGTCTGTATTTTCTCAGGGACTGTTTGGCATTTCTCTCTCTTTCCCTGTCTGTCTGTGCTGAGATGAATCTGATTCATCTAAGATAATCGATTCTTTCGAACCATTCTATAATGTTTTTGTAAATTGAAGAAACTATGTGCAAATATAGAAAGTTATTAGAATGTTGCAGTTTGATTTTTCTATTTCTAAAAATTAGGGTCAAACAACACTCTTGTAGAACGTTGAGTGCTGGTTGCTTTCATGACCTTTTCTTTGAAGTTAATTGCTAGAATGTTTTGTGTGAACAAATCATTCAATTGGGTTAACATGAGAGATGTATGTTTTGTTACAATTAAGAGAACCCTAAAAAAGAATATGTCATTCTTCTAGGGGAAATATTCTATTTATATCAAAAAGATAAATAAACCTAAACACCAGAGCAGGCATGGCCCTAACCAATTTGGCGCCCTGCAAGATTTCAGGTGGCACCTCGTTGCATCGCAGTAAATTCCATTGCTAGTGTACATATACAGTACTCATAAGAAACTTATTAGCTTTGCCTTGGACATACGTTTATACAAATTAAGCAATTGCACATTTAAAATATTTAGAAAGAAGTTTTTTGCAACTGTGGGACTGATCAGAGGACATTCTAGGAATCAAACATTCACTAAAAAATCAAAGCAAAGCAAAGTTAACTCAAACTCAACTTAAAATTTTAAAGCAACAAGCTTCAGGACATTTTGAGTTGACTCAACCCAATTACTTAACTTTACTCGATTAAAGTTGAGTAAACTCAAAAATTTCATGAAGTTTGTTGCCTTAATTTTAAGTTGAGTCAACTTTTTTTAACGATGTTGTTAGTATGTCCTGCTAATCAAAACCAGGGTGAATCGCTTTTAGCTGGGTGCCATTGATGCAAAGCTGAAGTTTTGTAAGCTCTGCACTGTTTTCAAAAGAGGAACTAAAACTTTGAACACAACTAATCTGATTACACAGACACACTTTGTTTGTGGTAACTGAATGTGATCCTAGAGGCCTTTGAGTCTTTTTAACAATACAATAAATGTTCATATGAATTAACAACATTTATAAAAGTTTAGAAATATAATCTTCAGAAATTAGTTAAAGAATTAAGAATTCATGAGAACTGGCAGCTTGCTTAAAGTGGTTTTACAATGGCTTTTCACTCTGTGTGCTAGTTGGTCAAAGTAGATCTTAAGACAGTTTTAGGATAGTGGCTGCATGGTTATGCAACTGGTTCCATGTCTGAAACAACTTGTTGAAATTTCTTTACAAACTGTGAATACCAACTCTTATAGCGCAACAGGAGAGTGTGTAGGTTAAGAGTTAAAACACTTCTGGACCGTTGGCAACCATATGATGAAATGCAAAAAGACTTAATGACTAAAGGAGAGGATGTAATGTTCCAAGGATGTAATGTTTTTATAGGTGCACCGAGGTTTATCAAAACTCTAATGAAAATTTACGATGGATAATGCTCCTATTTACTTTTAATTGCATCTGTATGTAAACAAAATTGTGCCTTTATCTTATAATTTATCAAACGAACAGTTGATTTCATTCATGAATGAGATGTCTTGTTTATAATGTAGCCTAAGGCAACTTGACTTACTTCAGTTTGTCTGCCTTTCACTATTTGCATGATAAACGATTGTACATTTGTATTGCCAATGTACTGTATCTGAATCTAAATTGAAAACAATTATAATGTGCATAAGATGAGCAAATACAACAAGACCTAACATAGACAGAGTAATTACGTCATCAGCATATGATTCTGTGCATGACTGAACACAAACGAGTCATTTAATTAAAAGATTCATTCAATAACAAGTGCTCAAGGAGATATTTTTTCACTGCTCCATTACCATACTATTCATTTTATTGCAAGGTGTAGCAGGCTATCAGATATTTAGACTTTTGTATGTTTTAAGTGGGATTAGTGAATTATCAGCATTTTCCTTATATCTACACCATAAATCAGGGGTTCTCAAACTCGGTCCTGGAGACTGAACTAAAGTAATTGAGTAAACTTGTTGCCTCAATTTAATTGTGTAATGGAGTAGTACTAAGTTTGGTGAACTGAACAATTTAAATATAGTTTACAAAACCGGCAAGTTATTCATTTATTTGTTCATTTTCTTTTCGGCTTAGTCCTTTTATTAATCTGGGATTGCCACAGCGGAATGAACCGCCAACTTATCCAGCACATGTTTTATGCAGCGGATGCCCTTCCAGGAACAACCCATCTCTGGGAAACTTCCATACACACTCATACACTTCAGACAATTTAGCCTACCCAATTCACCTGTATCACATGTCTTTGGACTGTGGCCGAAACCAGAGCACCTGGAGGAAACCCATGCGAGCTCAGGAAGAACATGCAAACTCCACACAGAAATGCCAACTGGCCCAGCTGAGGCTCGTACCAGGGACCTTCTTGGTGTGAGGGAAGAGCACTACCTACTGCGCCACTGCATGGCCCCCGGGAAGTTAAATAAACTTAAATAAGTTTAGGGAGACTCCATTACTCAGTTAAATTGAGGCAACAAGTTTACTCAATTAATTTAGTTGAGTCAACTTATTAGGGTTTTCAGTGACCTTGCCTCAACACACCTGCAAGGATGTTTCTTAAAAGCCTAGTAAGAGCTTGATTTACTAGGTGTGTCTGATTGGGGTTGGAGCTAATAGCTGCAGGACACCGGACATCCAGGACTGAGATTAAGAACCCCTGTCCCAAAAAGTTAACTCAAAAATTTAAATTTATGTCACCATTTGCTCCCTTAAATAATTCCAGGTTTTCCTTTATGAAATATGGAAAGTTTCTGTTGAATACCAATCAAGTATTCAGAAGAATGACTTTCATAG